CCAATCTGTCTACTGCACTTTGGGATAATAAAGGTCACCTCTACCTCATCTACGACGCCTTTGGCTCACCCTCATACACCTGCTACTTTTGGACTCGTTGGAAAAGTCGGTCAAATTGAAGTCTTACGTGGGCTTGGCGAGAGAACTGGCAAGGATTGGTCAAAGTGGCGAAATCAGGATTACCAACTCCCTGAAGAAAAACCTAAGAATCAAGTGGACAGCAAGCCACCAAAATGATTGCAAGTATAGACTTGATGGTCACTGTACGAACCGCGCGTGATCTGTTTTGTGAACAAATTGCAGAACTCGTGATTGCCTTGTTAGTAGACCTGGCTGCCTGCCGTCTTTACAATGTTCCACCAGAGGAAGAAACTTGAATCAAGCAATTGATAGCTGACAAAATCTGTGGCAAACCTGAAGTAGGTTATGAAGGAGGTTATAACAGTTGATTTGCAAGATTTTTATTAAATGATATCAAACTTTGGAAAGATGCTCGAGATCAATTAAAAAGTCTTTATATCTTACTCTTGGCTTTGGGACAACCTACCAAATTACAACTCGGCATTTTGTTCACTTCAGTCTTTCCTCAATTGATTGAGTACAACTTGTTGGTCAATCGTGAACCTGAGCACAATATCTTACTCTTCAGTCTACAAATCGTTACGGTTCCAAGTGTAGTGGTTGTCTTGGACACCGATCATGGATTCTTGAAGATGATCCTCGATTTATCTATTCTTTCTTTACTCATCAATTTGCACCTTCAAATTTGGTACATGGTGATTTCAGGTATATCATCTATCCTCCTGACCTTCAAAAGAAAACGATCGATTCTGAAGAGATGCGTTTTCGACACAAACAATATCATCATTCATTTCATGAACTGAATTTAATTTTGAGCTCACCAGGTGTAATTCGGCCATCTGTCATGACACAAAGCGTTGAATGGATCTCATCACCTTTGTAGATTTATTTACAAATATGAACCCTAACAAACGAGCAGCAAACGTTCATGTGGAATTTGGATCTGATGCTTGAGTGACTGCATGTAATTTAACGATTCAATTAGCTAATCTTTGTAAATTCTTTAGTGAATGTTATGCCAAAGCGAGTAATCAACAATTCGTGACGCATCCGTGTTTTATAGTCATATGCTTACCA